GGAAACAGTCCTTACTCTAGCAAAGTCAAAAGTGACTGGGAAGCAAGCAAAGGGAGGAAAAAGGATGTGGAAAACATTGCCAAAGGTGTCCATGACTGGCTCATGCAGAAGATCTCAGGTGCCTTGAGGAATTAAGAATAACTTGGAATGAGCTTTAAAAAAGGATCAGGCCAATGTAAATCGGCTGTAACAGTTCAGTAGTTTTCCCCAGGAACCAACAAAACAATCAAGGGAGGGATTTTTAATTCTGCACTTAGGAAAAGCCTGGTCCTAGACTTCAATTTGCACAGTAGAAATCCCTGATTAAAAAGGAGCCAAAGACTGTTGAGCTTCAGGAAGTAGGAGAATTAGGGATGCTTACTTTGGACGATGGTGTAACTTTACAGTGTAGCCTATACGAGGGAAGATGCACAGCTGCATCTCCCCAGGAGCAGAGCACAGAATATATTGTGAGTCAGTCACAGTTCCTCCCTATCTTCCCTCCACCACCACATGCACTCCCTTTGCTCTGCTACAAAAGTCAATTACTTCATCCTTATTTTTTTTTTATTTTTTTTTTCATGGAGCAGTTTTCTCTCCCATGCTCCCAGCCAGCTCCTTTGGCTAGCAAGGAAGCGGAGTGGGGTGAAGCCTGGGCTCTCTGCACTTCTGTCATCTCAGCATCCCCTCTCCACCCACTTCCTCTCAGCAGGGAGTATTGGGTGAGCAGTCCCTGCTCCTCTTGCTGCAGGCAGAGTTGTATTAACAGTCCTGGGAGCAAAGCTGGGGGAGAGGGAGGGACACTCCTTCCTCGTTCCCTCCCTTCCTCTCTCTTATATTCCTGTCTGAATGCCAGCACTGGCGACCTGTGGTGACTTTAACCCAGCAAGTGCATTCAGTATAGATTCCCAAGTAAAGACCCATGTCAAAATGAGACAGGATGTTACCAGTGCTGGAAAATGAGGGAACATGTATCCTGAAACCTGTGAAAGACCAGCCTCTTCCTAACCTGCTCTCAGTCTGTTGCTAGAAAATATGGAAAAGAGCCCATTGCACAAACAAAACAAAGCAATCACATCCTTAGGAACTTTGGGGAGGCAAACATATGGGGAAACTCTTTACTCAAGGTGAGAGGTCAGTCAACATCTTGGGATAACTGCATGTAAAGGGGATAGAAAGTTCTCAGGCCTTTCTGACAGTGGGAATGCAAAGAGCTTTGCTGAGCTACATGCAGGAGTAAAGGGCTTTTTCAAGGGTAGGAAACTTTTCCTGTGGCTGGCTCTGATGGGAAGCTTACACATATTCAGGAAATATCTCCTGTGCCCTCCCAGGAAAAAACAAAACCCCTCACATATGTCTCTTTTCTGACCTGTGCTCCCATCATCTCACCCTAAACCAGCATCTCTGGGTTGGAAACACTTCAACCCTTAGAAGCTTCTTCCTTGACCATGTCATGAAGACCTCTTTCTTGTCAGCACACATAAGGCGGGCACAGTTTGTGATTTCAGACTTTCAGTATAGCTTTGATTAGGATATAGGTGAATGGATAGCAGAATAGAACCTGGCAGGTCAAACCTGGGGGGTTCAGACCATTTGGACTATGGAACTCAAGTGCATGTGCAGAAATCATATTTACAAGCAAAATACTTTGCTAGAGTTATTTAGAAAAGATAAGACACATATTTTTGGACTGCTAGAAATTAAGGAAAGTTCCTAGGAACATTTATTCCCGTTTTAAACTATTAAATGGTATTATGCTTGGAGACAGTTTTGTGTATGCAACTCTTAAAAACCAAAGCTTGAGGCCAAATTCTGCTCTTGGTCACGCAGAAAGCAGGCGACTGTGGACTGAGTTGCATGTAACTGAGGTCATAATCTGGCATTGAGTCCGAGCTGGCTCGGTTTTCTACTAAGCTAAAATCTGTCCTGGTAAGTTGTTCTGAGGAAATCCAATAGGGAATGGGCCCGGTGTTAATGCTCACCATCAACATGATTCTAAATAAACTGGAGGAATTTAAGAAACAATGGTGTGTCTTCTGATTAACAGTTGTTCATACAGATTTAAAATAACTCTGTAGACTTGAGTGGTGCTACTTCAGATTTACCTGGAGAAAACGTGACTTTGTGTTTGGAAGACCTTCTATGACAGATCTCAAACAAAAGTACTTAGAAAGCATATAGAAAATTCTGAACGTGGTAGTAAACCCAACTTATTTTCTTTTTCTCTTTTCTATGCCCTATCAACAAGTTAAAACTAAGATCAGCATTTATCCAAATTCTTTCCTTCTCCTTAAATTTGGGAAAAATGCTGAGCCTCCACTATAAAGCTTGAAGTGGTCTGTTTTGCTGGTTCACTTGGTCTACAGCTATGTGAAAGAAAAAAAAATAACATTACTGCAAGAAAGGGGACTGGTTTGTCTGCATTCTAATGAAAGAAATGCCTTAAAAGACAAGTATCACTGCACAAAAACATATAGTAATTTTCCTGCATTCTTCCTAACCTGGCAGTGAAAAATAGAGTTTTATACACAGAATAAAGACAATACATGATCTCTGAATTGTCCTTTATTTGTTTCTAACTGAAGAGAAATTTTAGTACTAAAATAAGATATTAGGTTAGAGATTTGAAATAAAAGTTCTGGATTAACAGAAGGACAGGAAGGACATTGATCTTTTGGAGGAGTCCAGAGGAGTCCATCAAGATGATCAGAGGGACGGGGCAGCTCTGCTGTGAGGAAAGGCTGAGAGAATTGGGATTGTTTAGCCTGGAGAACAGAAGGCTTCAAAGTGACCTTATTTCCCCATTACTTGTTCTGGTGATTGCCTTCTGGTGTCTAATTCAAGACAGACTAAACCATGAGAACATTTCCAGGACATGAATTTTTTCCAGACAGGTAAAAAAAGGTAAAATGCTCATTTTGTATGGGAGAAGTCTTATAGAACTCCTAGTGAAAGTAAAAGAGAATATAAAGAAAGAAGATTTAAAAACATTACATGTTGAACGTTAAAAAAAAAAAACCTTTAAAATGTTATTAGCTCCTGTCCTTTGTGTTCTGGGAAGGCAAAATTGCAGCCAAATGAAAACAAAAGAAACTAAACCCTACAAACAGCATAGAAAGGTGAAACGAAGAATGAATAATGTTTATCATTATTTCTCTTCAGAACACAGATAATGGCTGACTCCCCTAAATAAATGCATAAATAAATAAGAATTGTATTCCTTTTGAAGCTTCCATGGTTAGAAATTTCCTTATGGAGTTCCCTGTCATTTTCTTTCTTGAAAACATTCATGCTCCTTGCTTTAGTTACCCTTTAGGGTAACATGTTCCATATGTAACATAGTTTTTGTATGAAACAGTTTAGATACAATTCTCCTTTCCTCCCCCTGACCCAATTTTAAGGTCTTACTGCTATGGAGGACTAATCTGGACCTGTTTGATCAGACATTTATAAATGTCATTCAACTCACCACAACTTTTTTTTTCCCCCTTTCCATAACAATAAGCCCAACCAAGTTGTTCTTTGGTAAGTGTTGCTATTATAAACTCCTTTAAACTCTACCTCTAATTGAACAGTGCTTCCTGACTCAGTTAGTTATTATACTACTTGCTTTCATTCAAGTGAATTTTTAGAGTAATGCAACACAGAAGCTTATTATCTTCTTTTTTTCCTGGTTGCTATTCTCTGGAGTAGACGCCAAAGAGGATTTGGTTTTGCTAACAGTGACTTCCCAAGTATTTTTTTATGCTTTCCATACAACACAAATTTTTTCCTGCTCAAATACTTCTTTTGATCTGATTTCTTGGAATAAATTGCATTTAGCATCTTCACAAGCTTTGTTTTCTTTATGCTTTCTCATTAGTCTTCTGTGTAAGAAATGTATACACTAAAAATTGTTCAGATTGTTCAGTTCACTGATTCAAAAATTCTCACTCTTGTTTCCTGTGCCTCACCTCTTTCTCTAACACTAGTTTAGACTGGAGGAAGATCCAGTGCAGCTGATAAAATGAAACTTGTGCAAACCAAGCACACATGAGAAAAGAAGGGCCCCCTCTCTTTCTGATTTTGTTGTCCCAATATTCACATTCTTCAAATATCCAAAACTATAACCCTGACAAAATGTCTTTTCAGTGAGTTAATCTGCTTGCTATCAGTTTAGCTTGTGTTTGTTCTACTGGTAGGAAAAAAGATCAAACAAATTGTTTTAGAATGGATCACATAGAAAAGTTGCACTAGTTAAAATTTTAACTGAGCCTGTATCAAAACCACACTGGTTTATACCAGGATCAGTCAGGGACTGCACTGTTAGGAAAAATTTCTTCATGGAAAGGACTGTAAAGCATTGGAACAGATTGTACAGGAAAGTAGTGGAGTCACCATCCCTGGAAGTGTCCAAAAAACATGTGGATATGGCATTTGAGGACATGGGTTAGTGGTGAACACAGTAGAACTGGGTTACTAGTTGGCCTCAATGATCTTAGGTCTTTTGCAACCTTAACAATCCTTTCTTCTTGCCTTTTACACAGCTATATGGGCAGAAGGCTCTCTAAATCCCTCCTGGCAAAAATGGATTTTCCCTTCTCCAGTGTGCTTTGCTGGTGGAAAATAGCCCCATCTATACATGATTTTGCCTCTTGTGGCTGTTTCCTGATGGAATAAAGCCAGCAAACACACTGTAGGCCCCAGTCAGACCTACACATGTTTTAAAATGAACGTTGCTGTCAGGCAAGGTCTACCTGTACAGCATGAACACAGATGTGCTGCTGCAAAGGCCTTGTGTTGTATAGTTTATTCTTGGGAAAGGGCATGGCTCTGTTGCTACTTAAATCCCTTTTCTTGTCATGTGCTGTCATCCCATTAGAGAGCTTTGTTGGCAGGGGTGACAGGCAGAATCATGGCTCCAGACAACCCCTTCTGTTCTCCTCAGCTTTAGAAAACTTGTGATTTGGTATCTCCATAGTATGTACTTTCATGATATTCCCATCAAACTGAACTCTTCTCCAATTATTCCTGTTTTCCAGGTGCAAATCTGTCTGACAAAGAGACGAGCTGACCTGCCAAGGCCTGCAGGAGGCTCATGGTGTGCCAGCACTGGACTGAAATGAGCCAAAGTAAGCAATGGCCAGAGAAGCTTCTGGGTTTGAACCTGCTGATTCCTGCAGCAGAACACTTCCTTGAGTAGTACCAAATTGTTTTGCTGTAACGTAGTGTCTTGTGGTTGGATTCTTTGGTTTCCTAAAAAGTCAAACCGCAACTGAAACTCCTGCAGCAGTTGGGATGTTCTTAAATTCCTATGCTTTAGGGATTGCCTGCTACCGATGTCTCCAGGATTCGCTCTCTTGGCTGGACTTGCCTCAGTGAGAGCACTAACACAGCACTCCCACCTTTTCTCTCTGCCCTTCTGTTTCCATGACCTTTGAAAAAGTCAAACACCTTAAGATCCTCTCTCAACAGTGTCCAAGTTAAAAGTTTATTAGGAGGACCTGAGGAACAGAAACATAGAATTTATCACCAAATAAGCCTCACGTATTACAGAAATTGCTGGAAACTGGGTGAGAAGAGCTAAGACATGGAGATCACTTCTGGGTTTTGCCCCTTTACCATTGTAGCCTCTGGGTCTCTGTTGCACAGAGCTGTTATTTCACTCTCTCTGCTGCAGCCCCAGTTCCTCCTGGTGTCTACCAATAGTCCTGAGCAACAGCAGGAAACATTCCTCTCTGCCATCTCTGCAGAACAGCTTCCAGGGGAAAGGATAGGAGCTGCAAAACCTAGGCCCCTGCTGTTAGGCAGGTACATTCTTACTCCAGAGAAGTTCCTGAAAGCTTTAACTCAGGTAGGCAAAGGAGGACAGGTTTTGAAAGCAGAAAATTGAGCAAATTAGCAGGCAATAACTGAAGTTTCCACCTCTAATCCAATTCTTACACTGGTTTATAGTCACTTAGAGCCCTGCAAAGTCAAGATGGTGTTGAGGAGTACAGAAGAAATTGGTGTTAGGATCTTACCTACTTGGAATTTTTCTAGTTCTGAGAGAACAGCAGTCTGACATCCCCTCAGACATCATTTATGATGCACTACTTCTGTAGTGTTCAGGAATAGTGCATGTCTTTGATTTGAGTACAAATTGGCTCTTGGGCATAAATAAAGATTGAGAAGCCAAAGTTTGTGTCAGGATCTCAGTTTTGAACTCAGTATCCTTGGAACTGAATCTGTGCTTTGATTTATCACTTTTGTTCCAGCTTGAATTATGTTATAACCAGAACCTGCACGAATTGCTTCTCAGGTATTTCTGTTCTTTATCATTATCTTGATTTGTTTCTATAGGATAGTTAAGACAAAGCCCCTCGTGAAAGGATGAGAAATCCTCTGTTCACACTCAGGAGAAATGTCTGCCACAATGCTGACTTTTCTGACTAGACTGCAGGATTCTGTCAGCCTGTTTAAGCTCAGAAAAAAGTTTACTTTGCTGAACAGTCTTTTTTTAGTGTAAAGAAGAGTAGAACATTCTTTTGAAATGAAGAAAATTTTAAAAATCCCACCAAATCAAAGTGCAGTCACATACTCTACTGATGAAGAGACTGTAGGAACCTATATTGACTACAATTGTATGTAGAGAAAGAAACAACATTTAACATAGAACAAACGAACAAAGTAAGTGGCATTTCTTAAAGCTGAATCTAGGAATTGCAAAGAGTCAAAAATGCTTTAAATCACTGGAACTTGTTTCGGGTACAAAGAAACTAATTGGGATTTGAAGTACTATTTATTATGGAGAAGAGTGATCCCAAAAGCTGAGAGAGTGTCAAAGAGTTAAAAGTTATGAATTTACCAAGAAAAAACATGAGTCAATATCAAAAAGTTTCCAAGATGACCATCTGAAAATATTTTGGGTTCAATTCAACAGATCAAAAGAGCTTGCTTGAATTGAACTTTAAAATAAATATATAAAAAAATAGGTTTAGAAGTACAAGCTGTTTAATTGTTTGAAGTGAACATGCTTTCCTTTCACACAATTTGAATTTAATTTATTAGAGTTTTCTGATTCAAAACCATTTCATGAATGTGGGAAGACTGGGATGTATGGTGTATTTATTGCTAAGTGAGAATCTCATCTGGTTGCTGCAAGTCAGTGCAGTCAATTCTTGACCTGAAGGATAATGCCATTACAGTGGGATCATAAGGTGTTACAATATTGTCCAAAGGATCTGAGGGACAAGCATGTAAAAGCCTTGGAAGTCTATTTTGTCTGACAATACAGGCATCTGAATTTTGCCTAGAAGTTTATATTTTCTGCAGTTTAACGTTGCTGACTAGTGGTTTGCATCCCTGTGAGGATCTGGCCCTTAACTGAAAATATTCCAATGCTTTGTGAAATTATATCATTCAGTGAAAAAAACCCAACAAATCTTGATTGTCAGCATGTGTCACGCAGGAGCTGTTTTTTGGTTTGGTGCCAGTGCACTTTTTCACCAGTTCTTAGATTGACAAGTGTATTTCTTCATGATAAATTAAAAAAAAAAATAAATAAAAATCTCCTCTCCTCCCTCCTGCCCATCTTTGCTCTTCTCCCAGCTGTCATCACTGTTTACAGTTTGAGTAAGCAAAAATATATATATTTACAAGTACAGCTTACTGCTGTGTTTGCTGGTATAGACTGCCTGGGGGCATATCTGTGAATGGAGCACATACATAAATATACCCCCTTCTCCTGTCAGCCTCTCCCCTCCCCTACCTTGTTTTCTTAAGCTGTGTGTTAAATCTCTTCTGTTGGATTCTGTTGGATTCTGATTTTGGAGGGAGACTAACGTCTTCCCTCATGGCTGTACGTGAGTGCTGTCAGATCTTGGGCACTAAACATGAGGTTCCCACCACTCCCAAACCTCCTGTCCTTCCCAAACACTGCTGTTCCCTCTCTCCTGCCCTGTGAACCTGCCCACTGGATTAACTGAGGTCACGGAGCAGGAGGAACGTCGTGTTGCAGCTGAACTGTTCCACCTCTTGGGGTTGTGTGTGAAAGTAGAAGATTTTATTTTCAGCTGCAGCCTCATGCTAATGGCCCTTCTCCCAACTGGACATGTGCCCATTGGACAATCCCAGAGCATCCTGGTTGCCTGCCAGCCCCAGATGCCAGAAGCATGTCCCCACTTCCTCTCCCCTTGCATGATGAAGTCTGCGGGGTCTCATCCACCATAAGGCAGGAAAGTCACATCTTGCATGCTTTTGGGGCAGTGGATCCTTATGAAGGCCTCCAGATGTTATTGTAATAGCAATTAAAAATCTACCATAACTAACTGAATAATGGACAATAAATTTTAAATCAGGTTTTTCATATGGTTTTATAAAAATGTGACAAACATCCATGGTCTCATCAGAACTAGGCTTCAGCATTGTGCTTGTGGCATTCCAACTGCTCCCGACTGCAAGTCCTGCTGAGGCCAAATGAAAGCTGATGGTTCCAGGAAGTTTTGCAGGATTTCTTCTCAGTGCTCATCTAGTCAGAAAGCAGTCACAGCACCAAACCTGACACAGTTCAAGAAGCGTTCGGACAATACTCCCAGGCACGTGGTGTGACTCTTGGGGATGGTCCTGTGCTCGCCCAGGAGCTGGACTCAATGGTCTTTGTGAGTCCCTTCCAACTCAGCACACTCTGTGATTCTGAGCATCCAGCGGTTAAATTCACTAACCTGTGTTCAGTCCCTAACTCCCATGGGAATTGCCCTTATAAGTTTGGGAAAGACATTAAGGACTTGTTTATGCTGCTAAAATTAACTTGATTTTTTTACTCCAGTGTTACTGCTGAACACTTAGCTGCTACATGTTATACCAGTAGAGACAAAACATGTTAGTTTTAGTCTGAAGTGTATTTGCTGAAGTTGATTCAGTAGCACAGTTGAAGGTTTTGTTTGTTTGTTTTGTAACTAGGATGCATTTAGTGGTTCTGAAGTAAAAGAAGAATGCAGCTTTTTAAAGATACTTTTCTACCTAGGAAATGGGCATGATAGTAATTAAATTTCTCTCCATGACACTGTTGAGTACAGTGTAAAAGCTGACAGACTGTATTTGTTGTGGGAGCCATTGTGGGAGATGAAGATAGCTCTGTACCCAAGGTTTCCAGGATATATTCAGGTATGGACAAAAATATATTTAGATATTTGTTTCAACTCTGCATTTCACTCATCTGTGTCACGATAACTAAAAATAAAAACTACAGGGAAACTAGGCTATTGCTTGCCACTCTTTCCCTGTCTGCAGGATATCTGTGGCAAAGGTTTACATGAAGGTAGCTGTAAATTATATGATAGACACAGACCTGGTAGAAGACTTGTGATTGATGTACACAATGATCATGTGGTCTGTGGGTAGTCTGAACAGGGCTTGAGAAAGGTGTGAACCCACTCACTCCTCACCTCCAGAAGGATACTAACAGTGTTTTCTGCTGATGGTGCATTAGATCATAAAATCACAGAATCATAGAATGGTGTGAGGTGGAAGGGAGCTTAAAGATCACTTGGTCCCAACCCCCCTGCTATGGGCAGGGACACCTTCCACCAGATCAGGTTGCTCAGAGCCCCATCCAGCCTGGCCTTCATATATTTGGGCTTGTTTTTGATACTGATGATGATACTGATCTTCCTAATAAAATTTATCTAGGCAGTAACTTTGGATCACAGATTCTTATTCGATTTTTGGAAGACCACGTAGAATCAATCTCTTTCAGTTGCCAGAAGTGCTTTGGTGCTTTTACAGGTCTCAGGACAAATTACCAAACACTCTGGGAAGTAAAAATAACTTTAAAGCCCCCATCCTCTGTCAGCCTTTTTAAAATGGCTCAACCTTTTTAAACAGTATAGATATTTGAGGAGTATTACTGAGATAGTGCTCTATGCTTTGCATCCACCATCTGGACAAGTCCTGCTGTTATGTTGTCTATCAAAGACGCAGCTTTCCTGGAATGTGGAATTGATAAAAAATAGAATCCAGCATTATATTCCCTACACAGATAAACTGTATCAACAACAGATTTAGCACATGAAGTTCAAGTAGAACTACCTTTGGTTGACAATTTTGTTCTGCAAAAAAATACATTTCTTGGTTAATGTGTGGAATCACTGCAATATTTTTCATCAAGTCCTCTCCTCCAGTTTTCACACTAAATTGATAGGAGAAAGTATGGAAGTGGTTTCTAGTTGATAAATTATGTTAGTGGAAAAAAACCCGCAATTTATCACCCTAAAAAATGGACACAGTGAAGCGAATTACAAGTCTGAAGTGTTCAGTGGTCATAGTTTCACTGATCCCAAGGGTAGACTTTCCTTGTTTTTCTTTCATGCAGGTTACATGACATAATCAGAGACTGTGATCCTGTGTTTTTCTCCATCTTTTATGACTTTTTTGTTGATCATTGATTTATAATCTGACAGTCAGAAACATGAAAAATAAAAGTAATACAATGTATAAAAAAAGAATCCAGCTAAGGTCCATCCATGCACTTTGTCAATTGTTTTTAGCTATTTTTTGGGCTTCTAAGCAAACAGCTGTGTATACCCTATACAACATGTTTCAGGACCAGTCCAGCTCCAAAAGAAATTAGTGGGAGTCTGCCTGTCTCCTTTTGGAGACATGGAATGGGACTGATAAAGCTGTGAGAAATACTGGGGAAACCTTTGGGGACACTTACTCAGAATTACTTAATGAGTCAGGATGAAAATACACAATCCCTCTGGTATTCCCTAATCCTTCATATTTTCAGTACTACAATATGTCAACAGGCTGGAGACCAGAATTTATCCTCTAAACACACTATACCCACAGTGATACCAAACAGTGGGGGCTGTAATCTCTTTACATCATTCATGTCAGCGCTGTTTCCAAGGGATGCAAGTTCTGAGAGCTGAAGAGTGAGGTCACTCATGTCTCCTCCACCTTTTTGTCCCTAATGCTCCCAGGCATGACTACATCCAGGATGGCATGGATTACCAGTTTAGGAATATTAACTATCCAATGTGAATGGTCCTCTGCATCCTTAGGCTAAGCTCTAACTTTTAGTACTTTCAAATACATTACCTGACATAATTTCTGCTTTGAAGGTCTGAAAAGCCTGGCAACGTGTATGAATTCAAATCTTGGCCGCCTATATATGTATGAACACACTCCTGATGTCTTTACCCTTCATTTTTAAAGTATCACTTTCTTTTCCCGAGACTTAACGTGCTCAGAATGTGGTTTTTTTCCACAGAATTGTCCCACTAAAATGGCAACTTTATGTCTGTCTGTCACTCCTGTTTGAGCTGGACCGTCTGCTGCAATGTCTGACTGATGGCTGACCCACTTTGCACCCTCAAATCTTACAGCAGGGACTTCTGAAATAACAAATCAGGGTCTCGTTTGCCTGACAGATATTAATTGTGACTAAGACATCACAGTGTGGCACAGCAAGAGAAATGCTGCTTTATATTTGAACCGTCTGGGAACAAGGACCTCAACAGGCACAAATGAAAGTTTTCTTTAAAAAGAACACACGAGTCACTCCAAACAAGTCATCTTTCAAAATGCCCTGAGGAAGGAAACACAGCCACTATGTCCTGTAAAGCTCAAAGCAAATAAGAAGAGCTAAGTATAAATAAAGTAAATTGAGGATGAGTACTGAAGAAACTCGACACAGATAAAGCAGAAAAAGTGATGCAATTCTGCCATAAATAGGTCATGCTAATTACCTATGTATAATATTTATACTTAACAATAAAGGAAATTCATCCAAAGGCAATCATTCATGAAAACTAGTAACATTTTCATTAAAAACAGACTAAGGCTTGTCTTCATGTTAAGCCCATTATGCTGCAAAAGTGTAATTAAATGAATTTCAGCAACTCTATACCTCTTCATTTTTTCAGGAGTCTCGGGCTATTTAATAAGCCAGCATCATTGCAATAGTTTCTTGTTTTTATAAACACAAAGTCAAACCACTAAAGGATAAACTCTTTCTTAGAAACAATTTTTCAGTATTGAGTTTTACCTGCAAATTCAGTTTTTCAGGATTTACTCTGTATGTAGCAGGGGATGGGCTCCTTTTCATGGTGCATGGAAGTGCATGAAAGAAGAGACATGGAGCTTCAGTTTTATGCTATACACAGAAAGAAGTGAGGCAAAACAGATTTAGTTGCCTTAACTCCTAGGTTTTCAATGTTCCTCACTTTTTTTAAAGATTTGTACTATCAACAATGATTATTAATCCTCCATTTCACTTTTTCACTAGAAGTGATTGTAAGAGGGTGGATGAAATACTCCAGGGATCCTGTTCTCGCATTCCAGCCCTGGGATCAAACACGGATTTCACCTCCTAAAGTGATTCCATCTTACAGTTGAAAGCTACACTGTCTGGGGAGGCCACAACCCAAGTTGTGGACTGTAGAAGTTTCTCTCAGCATAGGCAACTCTTCAGATTTCTCATCCAGGTTTTTTTGTTTTCATTTTTTTATGTTGCCTTCATTTGGCTCCAGTTGGCACACCAGTAGATCGGAGGCGTCAAGTTTCTCCTCACAAATCATAATAGCCATAAGGACTGTATTTAATGAAGTGACTCCCACCTCAGCAGAATGAGACTGCTTTGACTATATTATTATGATAATCAACAATTAAGTTGGCATTTGCCAGCCATAACCACAGATGTCTTCCTTGAAGTGTGGGAGAAACAGCACTAATGTCAAATACCACAGTGTGGGAACACTTGGCACACAACACCAGCATAAGAAAATGGAGCATTTGGCCATGCTCCTGGAAGATACTGTGATTGAAGTGACATAAATACTTAATTAGGAGAATCCATGCATCAACAAGCACTGCACCTACTTTACTGCAAAAGTGTTGGAGAAATCGCAGCATTTTTCATTATTCTTCAGCTCTTCTGCCATGGAGGTATCTGAGACAAACATATGTCTGACTCTGATTTTAAGAAGGCTGCTGAGAGGCCCTCCTTTATCTTTGATCTCTACATGTACAATAAGCAGAGCCTCCACAGCAATGCCTTTGAGCGGCGAACCACCTCTAAATCACAGCCCAGTAGTAGTGTTCATATTTGGCTTGTGCATGTCTTTCTCAGTTCCAGTACAGTAAGTTCAATCGGCTTGGAGCTGAACTGCAGCACAGCCATTAATCAAAACCCTATAAAATTGAGTTCCAGGAATTTATAAATACATAATACAAATATGAGCTGTGGGATCCTTTTCTGTAAACACTCCATCTCAGCAATGCTTCATGTCTCCCTGAGCACCATAACTTCACCAGCCAGAATAGCTCGTTCTTGATTTCTATCTGCCTCAACACTGTTACCTTGTTTTGTGCCTCTTTTCAGCTTAGAGTCATTGTGAAGGGGAGAGAGGAAGAAAAGTGCCATCACCACAAAAGCCTACCTATTTTTTTCCATGGGACAAGCAGGTCATGACTCATAGGTTTGTATTCAACTGTTTTTGTTATTTCTGGATTGAGATGGACAGGACTGGATCCCTCCTACCCACATTCCACTAGCCTGTCCAAGAAGTTCAGTGTAACTCTAAAGTCCATCAAAGTACTTAGGATTCTCTCCACTAACTTCATCAGGATTGGTCTATGGGGTACTAATATCTTTGCTTTCAGAATGGGCAAAAAAAAAATACTACTTTTTGGGTTTTTTTTTCTGAAGGAATGTTCTCTCTGTTTATGATTTCCTTTTATACGAATACTCTCCTTTCCTTCCCTTCACTGCTATTCTGTATTAAAACCCCCATTTTCAGCTGTCATAGGGGATGATTTAATACTGAAAGTTTTTCCATTGGTTTCATCTCCTGCAGACATCACTTGACATCCTGAAAGGTTGCTGGGTGATTGTTTTGCAGAGTGCTGAGTATGGAGATCAGTTTCTTTGCCTTCCAGGGTTGACCTGCAAAGGGCTTTCCCAGTGAATTAATTTGCTTTCGTGTTGTTTTGTCCTGTCTTATTCAGACTACACTATGATGGCATAAGCACATGTTGGTCTCTGACTCAAGAAGTCTTGTAAAGTGGAGAGAAGAGTTTTCTTGTAGGTGTTTGGGTTTTTTACTTTTTACTTTTAGTTTGGAATGTAAGCTGGACTCGGTAATTCATAAAGCACAGAAGACATTCATTGTAACCAAAGTAAGTGGAGTTAATGTTTAATTTTTCATTTTTAAGTGCTGATTCAGAACATAACACTGCACATGCAGTTTACAA